TTAGCATGAAAACTTAACCGAAACTAATTAAAGATAACAGTCTAGTTAGCATGTAAACTTAACGAAACCACAATTAAAGATAACAGTCTAGTTAGCATGAAAACTTACCGAAACTAATTAAAGATAACAGTCTAGTTAGCATGTAAATTTAACAAAACCACAATTAAATATAACACTCTAGACATCTTGTAATCGTACCAATAAAGATTGCCTGCTTACCACCTTATAAATTTACCAAATCCACCAGTAAAAATAACATTCTAGTCACTTTATAAACGTACGAAATACACTAGTGAAGATAGCTTAGTAGGCTTAGTAGCCACCACGTATCTTACCAAATCCACCAGTAAAGATAACTCTCTATCCACCATGTATCTTACCAAATCCACTAGTAAATATAACTCTCTATCCATGTATCTTACAGAATCTACCAGTAAAGATAACTCTCTACCCACCATGTATCTTACCAAATCCACTGGTAAAAATAACTCTCTATCCATGTATCTTACAGAATCTACCAGTAAAGATAACTCTCTATCCGTGTATCTTACCGAATCCACCAGTAAAGATAACTCTCTATCCATGTATCTTACAGAATCTACCAGTAAAGATAACTCTCTATCCATGTATCTTAAATCCACTAGTAAAGATAACTCTCTATCCATGTATCTTACCGAATCCACCAGTAAAGATAACTCTCTATCCACCATGTATCTTACCGAATCCACCAGTAAAGATAACTCTCTATCCACCATGTATCTTCCCGAATCCTACAGTAAAGATAACTCTCTATCTATGTATCTTACCGAATCTACCTTTAAAGATAACTCTTTATCCATGTATGTTGCAGAATCTACCAGTAAAGATAACTCTCTATCTATGTATCTTACCGAATTTACCAGTAAAGATAACTTTCTATTCATGTATCCAACCGAATCTACTAGTAAAGATAACTCTCTATCCACCATGTATCTTCCCGAATCCTACAGTAAAGATAACTCTCTATCCAACATGTATCTTCCCGAATCCTACAGTAAAGATAACTCTCTATCCACCATGTATCTTCCCGAATCCTACAGTAAAGATAACTCTCTATCCAACATGTATCTTACTGTATTCAACAGTAAAGGTAACTCTATATCCATGTATTTTACCGAATCCTACAGTAAAGATATGTCTCAAAACACTTGTATTTTTATTGGTTACCTTGTAAAGTTAACACACTCTCCTATAAGCGCACAATTATCTTATTATATGATAATCTTTTAACATATCTCCAAACCCAAGAAGGACTTTGTTATTCTGGATGTTATACGTACATGAAAATATTTATTGCAGTCATATATTCACAGAGGCTGCTTTGAAGAGTACATTAACTTCGTTGGTTAAAGTTCTCTTAAAAACCAGCGTTTTGAGTTATGTCTACTATTTACAGTGAATGTTGATAGCCACGTGTCTTCATAATGATATATCATATACTTAAAAATATTGAAAGGTGGAAAGTTGGTGAATGTAATATCTAACATGTATGGCTTTGGGATAAAAATATATCTAACTTGTTCGGAAGGTAGTCTTGGGATTGAAACCGAAACCGGCAGCACAAGATGTACGTTTTTTTAACTCAATTAATATAGCAAGGTGCCAACTGTAACATCGTTTTTGGTGCGGGGGCTGTGTCAGTGTCTGGTTGTGTGGTTACAAATTTACAGTGTGATGACTGTATTAGTCTCTAGGTGTGTGGTTACAAGTTTACAGTGTGTTGGCTGTATCAATGTCTGGGTGTGTGGTTACAAGTTTACAGTGTGTTGGCGGTACTAGTTTCTGGATGTGTGGTTACAAATTTACAGTGTGTTGGCTGTATCAATGTCTGAGCCAACACACTGTAAACTTGTAACCACACATCCAGACACTGATACCGCCATCACACTGTAAACTTGTAACCACACACTGTATCAATGTCTGGGTGTGTGGTTACAAGTTTACAATGTGTTGGCTGTATCAATGTCTGGTGTGTGGTTACAAGTTTACAATGTGTTGGCCGTGTCAATGTCTATGTGTGTGGTTACAAGTTTACAATGTGTTGGCCGTGTCAATGTCTATGTGTGTGGTTACAAGTTTACTGTGTGATGACTGTATCAATGTCTGGGTGTGTGGTTACAGGTTTACAATGTGTTGGCCTTGTCAATGTCTATGTGTGTGGTTACAAGTTTACAATGTGTTGGCCGTGTCAATGTCTATGTGTGTGGTTACAAGTTAACAATGTGTTGGCCGTGTCAATGTCTGGGTGTGTGGTTACAAGTTTACAATGTGTTGCTGTATCAATGTCTGGGTGTGTGGTTACAAGTTTACAATGTGTTGGCTGTATCAATGTCTGGTGTGTGGTTACAAGTTTACAATGTGTTGGCCGTGTCAATGTCTATGTGTGTGGTTACAAGTTAACAATGTGTTGGCCGTGTCAATGTCTATGTGTGTGGTTACAAGTTAACAATGTGTTGGCCGTGTCAATGTCTATGTGTGTGGTTACAAGTTTACGGTGTGGTGGAAAGTGTCGGTAAATAATAGTTTACAGATGAAACAGATCAATTAACACATAAAAAATACCTAACTTCTGTCTCGTCCTTATGCTTGATTCTGGTGATGATCTGATCTCGTGCATGACCACTAGCACGACTTCTGTTATACAGGTTTCTTGTCAGACTTAAGATTAATGTTATACTATACGTACTTAGCCTAAATAACAACCTGTCAATTATTTGTGTATTTATCCTAGTTTTAGAGAGAGGATATCCTGTATAGCCTACTAATGGATTGCACGTGATTCGTTAGTCCTAGCTTCCTAGTTTTAATAATAGAATATTTCTGCCTGTATTTCTTTTGTTTTTTCTCGTAGCTAAAATGCATGTCATAGTTTACTTAAAAGATCTTATTATTTATATTAGCATGCCACGTAACGATGGCGTGTTGTGATGCCATACCCTCGCATGTTCTCCCATTAGGCGGAAGCAATGTAGAAAATAGTCCATCTCCAGTAAAAGCGGACACTCCTACTTCTTCGTCTTTCACCGTGCTTCAACCTCTTCAAAATTCAACATTTAGTCCATCTCATGTAAAAGCGGACACTCCTACTTCTTCGTCTTTCACCGTGCTTCAACCTCTTCAAAATTCAGCATTTAATACGAACAGTCCATACGATTTCTTTGACTGTTATGGACAATACCCAGGCAAGTGACGCTGCTATCGCTACGTGCCTTTGTTTTGTGAGAAGTAAGTTAACTTAAAACAAAGGAGATAAAATTAAATCCCAAAATCCTGTCTTATCACACACACTTGTTTAACTCATAGAAATTTCATTTTAATTTTTGTACCTATTTATCACAGAAAACTTCACAAAATCTCTTGTTTCTATACCTGAAGATACTGGGGTAAATAATTACAAAGCAAAGAGCCCCTAGTTCAGCTTGTTTTAAAGTAACATCTTGTTCTAAGATGTTTTGTTTGGAACAATGTTGAACTTCCATTTAAATCGTCTCTACATCTTTTAAAATAAGATCTTGCTTTATGACTCTTTATTTTCTACTAAAGAATGTTATTTTAAAATAGGAGTAAGAAAAGTTATTAATTATTCCTACTAATACGTATACAGTAGTGGCAGGAGCTGTCGGACCTACAGGTGTCGCTGCTGTTCCCGCTACTGACTACTCTTACACCCAGTTCAGTTCAGCTGCTTCGTACGGTGTTTATGGCTACAGTAGTAACAGCATTATAAGTGAGTAAAAGGTATTTGATAAATCTTCAGATAAAGTGTAACGTCGACAACAGAATAAGTATTAATATAACTAGTTACGTCATCAGATATTTCTAAACTCAAAATCCCACTAAACCTATTCATTATTCAACACCTTTACAAGTTACATTTTGAGCTGAAAAATATCGAGAAGCTCTGTACATTACGTATGGTATCGCGTTCGCCAGGACGTCAGTAAAACGTAGTTAAAAGATAGAGACGGAAACCTCTCCACTAATCAAGTACAAAACTGATTCCAAAGTTAGCCTAACTTTCCTTGACGTCTAGAAAACGACCACAAGAACATCGATTTTCTTCTTATTCTCCATCAGCTGTAACTCGTAAACCACAGTGTGCTCACTTCCAGTCTGCACACCAATACATTTTACTACTCCTTAGGATGTGTATTTTTACACCCAGAGCAGCAGGTGATCAACGATAAGTTAGTTACAGCCCACAGTACTAATCATGGTCTCTTACCAGTAAGCTATTATGTGTTTCATATGAAATTAGATAATCTACTGTATATATACTCCTTACCGCAGTATCCTGGTCAGGACTTATCTTGCTTCAAGAAGTAACGTCTATAGATTATATTATGGCTCCCATAGAACAGAACTGAATAAGTTGGTGAAATGCTGCCTTCCACCTAGAAGTTACATCCCCATTGGAAGACA